GCGATGTGTAATATATGTAGAGGTATATATAGAAAGATGTTCTTTTAGTGTGAGCCACAGCTCAAGTACAGTTAGCAGAGCAACAGGGAGGACAGATAAACATGCTATATGTGATAGAGACTAAAGTACTTTGAACCAAAAATTATATTTTTGCTTAGAAGAAACTTGCTATAACAGAGTGCATATAGAGATGCAGATGGTTATTTTTTTTTACTTAGATTTGTACCAAATGTGTACTTGAAACAATGCAAGAGTTAAATAAATGGCTTATCAGTTGATTTCATTTTTTGTTAAGTATCATTTTCATGTATCTTACGTATTGGTATTTATTTTGGGAGAAATATTTTGATTTTAAAATGCATTTGGGGAGATTTTTCATGGGAAGGAGAAGGGGAGGAGAGTTTAAAGGAAGCAGAGAAATCCCCTGTGGCCATTCCCAATGTGATCAGGTATGATTCAGCCCTTTCCTGCATTAGTAACAAATCCCACATGTATGTACTGGATCTTGGAACTGTTTTGTATGCTTTGTTATTATTTGATGTGTACTTATTATTTTCTATGTACTGTTTAATATTTCAGCTATACGCTGTACAGATCCAGGCACACCACAGCACGGCCGGAGAAGTGTGAGTGGCCTTGAAGTGGACGGAGAAGTCCAGTTTGAGTGTATGGCAGGGTACAGACTGACCGGGAATAATGTTGTACGCTGCACAACTGACGGCACCTGGAGCTCGGAAAATCCAACTTGTGAAGGTTAATAGATTCCTATACTCCTTACATATGTATTTGTATCTTATATGAGGTTTTAGTAAGATGTGGTTCGTTTGAGAATTTTAAAAATATTATTTTGCTATATAAGGTACCCTATAAGCAGTTTGTGGGTGACCTTCAGGGCTGCAATGACTTTAGCTGATATATCAATGCCAAAAGCGATTAAGATTAAAAGATAAAATGTTTATGAACAGGTAGCTTTCACATGCACACAGACATGCATGTGCACAAACACATGCACAAGTGTGCACACACATGAGGAAAATTAAGAGGCTTCTCTTTTCTTCCAGATATAAACGAATGCACGTCTGGCACAGCACGGTGCAATCCAGAGACAAGCACTTGTGTCAATACAGTCGGCTCGTACAACTGTGTCTGCATGCCAGGCTACGAACAGGATGGGGTCGGAGGATGTCGCGGTATGCATGTTTATGTCTTTGCATTCTTTCAAAGTGAATTTCCATCTTTGTTGATTGGATGAATGATCCACATTAATGATTAATTTATTCATATGGTTAAATTATTGGCTGAACAGAGTATTACAATGTCAGTTCCTCCATACTTTTATTATCTCAGATATTGATGAGTGCCAGCGGGGACTGGACCGGTGCGATCCACTGACTCAGGACTGTGTAAACACGCCTGGATCGTACCAGTGCAGGTGTAAAGACGGCTATAAACTGACTGATGATAAGGAAAGTTGTGAGAGTAAGTTATTTGAGTTATTTTCTGGGACGATTATGAGCTGAGCTCATATTTTGTGCACTGTTTCATTTAAAGCAAGTGTCACCTTGTAGCTAAGTACATTTTTATACTGATATTTGGTAGTGAATAGTTCTTTATATATTGCCAAATGCCAAGGTCATTCGCCCATCTTTTGTGTGCATAGTTTTAAACATTAGTTTATACAATACTACTACTATCAAAGGTACACAACAAGCATTATACCTTCAAGTGTTAAAATATAAGTTGTCTTGGAAATTTCACGTTTTCCCCTGATCACTAATTATATATAGTTATAAGGTATGGCATACCCAGCTCTGACTAGGAACCCCCAGTGCAGTTCATTCACCAGTTTTTTTAGCTGGCCAGGTTTTGAGGAACTCATAATGAAGTTCTGTTCATCTCCAGTGATGATGAAAAATTTGAAGTTTTAACTTCTTAAAAGAACTCAAAAAACATCATAGATCATAATTTTCTGAGAGGTTTTCAAGAGGTTTATGCTTATAAAGGGATGTCTGAAATTCTAAGAAAATTTTTCTTGTCGTAAAAAGTTTGTATGCTGATAGTGTGCTTCACAGTGCTGTAGCCAGTGCAGCCAGGATTAGTTTTTATTAAAGTATTTCCCTTATTATAAAGCTATAATAATTTTTAGAATAAACTGATTTTTAAAGAATTTTTACAAACAAGTAACAGTTTTAAGTTTGCATTATGCATTGAAAGACCAGTATAGTCTATAAAACAAAATACTTATTTTAAAATAATCATATATGACAATTTTTTGGCTTATAAACCTATTTGTGATGATTTTTTGCTCTCTGTTTTAAGAAAGCTCTATCTCTAATACAATCTGTTTGTACTTTCACTTCCAGAACTGGAAGACAAAATTGTGGTTAGACAAGGTAAGTTCAATTTTCATCATTTCACATATTACATTTTACTTACATATTTGTTTGTAGATGAAAAATGTATGAAATAAGATGACTCCATTTCTTGCCTGTGCCAGAAATTCCTTTTTTTTTACTCATCCTGTCAGTGCATATGGTTATTAATTTTACATATAGAAAAAAGAAATTGATGTCATTCCATTCAAAATCATTTTTATCATGATGGTAGAAATGAACAAATTAATATTTATGACAAAGTCTAATATGAAAAAGTCTGTATTTGATTTAGATGCATCACGTGAATTTTCCTTTTTCTTTGTGAATGACATAAAGAAAGTTTGCTCTGTGCCTTCTAAGTGTAATCAACTCCTTATCCTTACAAGAGTGTGAAGTTATTAGATTAATTGTTAACCATGCTGAGTTGCCGCATCTCACTGCTTTATTCTGGCCCAAAGGTTGGAAGGGCAAGTTTTTTTTTTTTTTCTTTTTTTTTTTTTTAAATTTGTAATCCAGGATCACAATTGGTATTATTTATTTACTGTTCATTTGAAATATTCTCTTGAACTAAAACCTGTATTTTGTGATCTTGTCAGATATCAATGAGTGTGATGGCAATGACCACGGCTGTGACATGGAGAATGGCGGCTGTCAGGACACCCTTACCTCCTACTACTGCTACTGCAACTCTGGTTACGAACGCAGTGACTCCAATCTTGGAACCACTTTATGTGTGGGTACGTATCAAAATAAATATCAATGACAAATTTCAGGGGCATATAGCTTTGATTTTGCTTATTTTGTCAAACTCTTTTTGCTAACCCACAGTGCGAAACCTTTGTAATCCTTCTCATTCTTCAACTGTTATCAAGGGATTATATAGCAGGGTCTTAATAAGTTCACAGGATTATTTACTCTAAATGAGCAGACAGCCTGTTAAACCTGTTATGTTATAACATTGGCCACCTTGGTTAAAAACCAAGTGAAAATTTCACTGGAAACTAAAGTGCATGGTTTTATAAACACAAGTATTATAATGCAGTGCTGGAAGGCCCAAGACACACTATGGTTCATTTATTCCCTAGTCTTTATACAATACTGCTAAGGATTTATCAGAGAATTGATTTCAGTATTTGTTTTCTGCTATTTAGATATAGACGAATGCCAGACACGCACAGACAGCTGTGATCGTCTCTATGGATCCTGTCGCAACACGCCCGGGTCCTATACGTGTTCTTGTAACACTGGCTTTGAACTGGATGCCAATAACAGGAATTGTCGAGGTAACGTTCTTGTCACAGAGTGGGTTTTTAAGATACATGTAAGCTTGTGTTCTTTGTCATTATAATATGGCATGGGTAACAAAACTGAACAAGGTACCATAATTGTTATTGGTTTTACATTAAAATAATGCTGTTTATATCCAAATAAATGGATTTTAGTCTTAAAATAAATATGTTATTATATTATTATTATACCATGCATCTTGGCAATGAATTGAAACTTTGTAAATGATAATAATAAACAATCTGTAAAGAATATAAGTGGGCGTGGCTTCAGTTGAAACTGTAATCAGTTCTCTCACTTCTGAAATTATAAGTCCATATGGAAAATTTCGATAAAATTTGTAAAGGACTTTTTGTGAAGTATCTAGTCCACAAAAAAGTGGATAATGATGAGCACACGATTTGTTTGGTTGACAGCAGTGACACCTGGTGTTAGGCAGCTGTGACACATCTCTGTCACTGTGTCATGTCACTGACATATTGCATCTTTTCTGATATGAAATGTTTACCATGACTGATTGGGAGGATTCAGAGCAAGTGCATGTGCAGACTTACAGATTATTGGATCAAATATGGCACCACCCACTTGAAGGCATCTCGGGATATAATTGCGCTGCCCCTGCTGGGACAGTGCATGTGGGAGGTGGGAATCCATTGTCAAATGTGCACCATATTTAGTACACCATATTTGGGACTAGTTAGTCTGCGGATCTACTTTGTTGTGAGTGCTCTCATTGATCCATTCCCACAGATATTTAGATCGATCTATCCCCCTGGGGAGTCTCACTAGATTGCTGTCAGCTAACCGACTTAAATATGTGTCCCGCCTACTGAAAGCTGTAAGGGGGTAATTAACTTTTGTGCGCGCTTGGCTCCCTGAAGCTGACAGCAATTTAGCGTGAACCCCCAGGGAGTTACGTCGATTCAGATGGATCGATCTAAATCTTTGGTAATCCAGTCTAGTCTGCAGATCTACTTTGTTGCGAGTGCTCTCATTGATTCATGATTTTTTGTAGATATCAATGAATGTGAGAGAGGGCTGGATACATGTGATCCACTAGTCGAGTCTTGTGAGAACACAATGGGCAGTTACAGGTGTGTGTGTATGGAAGGATATCAGAAGAACAACAATGGAGTCTGTGAAGGTAAGAATACAATGGGCAGTTACAGGTGTGAGTGTATGGAAGGATACAAGAAGAACAACAGTGGAATCTGTGAGGGTAAGAACACTACGCACAAAGCTTGGCCGCTCTGAGCTCATCTCTGATTATTGGTTAATTAATTAAGTGATGAAATAATCAGTGGATCATCAATTGATTTTAAAGAAACCATGTATGTTTATCAGTATCCATACTGTTATTTGGGGTTTGGCTGTTAACAGATATAAGAAGGCATCAAAGGCAAAACATGACCTCCTTGCCAGAGATAATTGATATACTTGATCTGTGGAGATGTTCTACGAACTGAATTTACCTGCCATTATACTTGTTAGGACAATATGTGGATGTCTACTTTCGGGGCACAGCAGTAACTGCTCTATTGGATTTTGAATCATTTTTCCCTACATGTATTCAGCACATGAGGACTTTTAGATAATTAAAATTATAATTCCATGAACGGCTGCTACTTGTTCATGTCTTATAAGCCATAATTGCCATTTGTTAACATGAGCCTTAGATTTGGGAGCACAAAGACATATCAATGACTCCAGCCACAAGTTAAGTACTCCTATGTAAAATTAGTTGCCACAAGCACAGCATTTCATAACTCAAACAATTTGGCCAGCCTCCATCGCCAGGGACAGAAACTTGGCCTCCATTTTTATATATATATATATAATATATGTAATGTAATGTAATGCAGTGTACTACAGCACAGCACAGTACAATACAATACAAAATTCAATGAATGTTGTACCAGGTTTTTTTTTTCTTTCTTACATTCAGACATTGATGAATGTCGTGAAAATATTGCCAAGTGTGAGTTGTTGAAGCAGGACTGCGAGAACACGCGCGGCTCGTACAGATGTGTGTGTCGCCAGGGACAGAAACTTAGCAAAGACGGGAAATTCTGTGAAGGTAAACGTAATCTGCAGATGAATGTAAACTCTTCATAGGAAATGTAAGTTAAAGTGTAAAGTGCATTTTTTCGTTATACTTTGATTTGGAAAGACCTGCATGTGTTTATGAATATAGATAACTAACTACTTCAAACGCAACAAATGTTGTGAAAATAGTCCTTATTTGCAAAATTTGCCTCAATGATTGCACATTTTGACTTATTACATTGGTCAAAGACATTTAAAAAAAGAAGTGCAGTTTAGTATGTGGATTTATATAGATCATTGATAACATTAAGTGGGCTTCTATATTCTTTTATTTATTATCAGACTTTATAATTATAATCGTATGTGAATTTTTGTAGGTCATCATTTAGTCAAATATTTACGAAATTGAAGATGAGAAGCATTTTTTACTAGTTTTTCCACGTAATGAAGAATTGAGAGCTCAGTACATTCCTAATTTGAATGCTAACAATACATCTTCAAATTGTTATATTGCTATGATGAAAATAAAAAATCCTAATGCTCTGAACAACCTTGCTAGATTTATTTACCATGGTTTGAATGCTAGAGAAAACTGTAACCTTGTGATGTATTTACTATGGGCCAGTGGCCTTAATCAATTGAATAAAGCATTGAAATTTAGTCATAGATCAGTGAATTTTTCATTTTACCCCAGATGAGGCCCTTCAGTGCCCACAACCCAGGATTTTGAATGGTGCCTATTTCTACGTTGCTGGAGCCAATAAGGATGTTTACACAGCTGGGGACCGAGTCTCGTACACCTGTGATGATGGTTACGAGATCAATGGAGCATCATTATCCACCTGTCTGGACACTGGAGAGTGGGATCCAGTGGTACCAAAATGTTTAGGTTTGTGGCCAGTGGTCTTATGTTAAAATAGAAAAATTGAATGGCAGTTAATTCGTCTGGTCTTGATTTGGGGTGCCTCAGAAGGAAATGTGGGATTGAGAGTAATTAAAATATTACTTTTTGCATAGGTTGAGATATGAGTTTATTTGGTTTCTTACATCGAACAGGTGTCTGTTAATTGTTCACATCCTGTATGTCTCCCTGTACACATCCAGCCCTGTCACCATGCAATTGTGTGTCACAGAAGAAAAAGTACAGAAGTAAAAAGTCCAAGTTTGCATATGAGACTAAGACCCCATTCCCAGAGATTAGCTGTCAGCCGAGCGGGCACAAAAGTTAATTACCCTCTTACAGCTTGTAGTAAGCGGGACGGACATTTAAGCTGGATTATCTGACAGTAATCTAGTGAGACTCCCCACTGGGATAGAGCGATCTAAAATCTATGGGAATGCACCCTAAGAACCCTACAAACTTAGAATCTTTACTGCCATCTTTTTTTACTCCAATACCAAGTCTGTTGGCAATCATTCTGATTATCTTTACAGTGTTTTCTAACAGGAAGCTTCAGTGTGAAATTCTTTAATTCTAACCACAGTTATCTCTCCTGGTACTCTCTGCTACATTTGGCTATAGTTTGGTAGGAGAAAGATGAAAATGTTACAGTTATCTAGAATTTGCTTGTCCAACATAACTGTCTAAAGTTTGGAAGGTTTGGAAAAGATTCACTTGGTTCTTGATGCCAGAGGTATGTCCAACAGACTGAACTGCCCCAAAGTTAAACGAACACTCTGTCCTCTGCCCAGAGTCCACACATCTTCCTTCACTGTCCTGTTGTCTTCTCTCTCCTCCAGGTGTCCTCTGCCCAGAGCCACAGATTGTTGACTTCAGCACCAGAAGGGACAGCAGGACCACGTTCCGTTACCAGGACACCGCCTCCTTCCAGTGCTTTGCAGGCTTTGTCATGGATGGGCCAGAGAGAATCACCTGCAGAGCCAACGGGGCCTGGACGACTTATCCAACCTGCTCAGGTGATTGATTTATAGGACTTTACATAGCAACAACTTTGTACTTTACTAAGTGAAAAATAAGGGTCATTTTCCCTCCACAAGTTCACCTTATGACAGTTCTTGGGGTGTTCTCCCATCTTCCATCCATCATTACCGTGTCCTATCCAGCGCATGTGTCTGTTTTTCAAGATAGAATACAGATTTGTAACTCCTGAAAGTATTAAAAGGATGATTATATATATATATATATAATTGGGGGAAAAGGCTTGGGGATGTTTTTTTACTTTTTAATAATCAGACTCTTTCCCACTACTTCAAGTACAGCTTATTACACAGACCAATAGCGTAAAACCATGAGATACGGATAGACAACAGATGACCTGGAGGCTGATGACTTCTACAGAATGGGACACGTACGGCCTCACTGACAGCCAGAAGATATACAAAGAATATACAGACTTTGGTCTGTCATGGTATTTCTGTCTATCTTGATGTTATATTTATCATTTCAGCTTGTCCAAAGGACAGTTATGCTGACAACAATGAGTGCAAGCGATGCCCTGCCAATAGTCACACCATTTCTGATGCCAGCAGTAGTATAACTAGCTGTATCTGTGACAGAGGTTATACTGGTCCACCAGGAGGACCTTGCCAAGGTAGGTGTTAGGTGCATTGTCAATAGTCACACCATCTCTGATGCCAGCAGTCTAGTAGTATAACTAGCTGTATCTGTGACAGAGGTTATACTGGTCCACCAGGAGGACCTTGCCAAGGTAGGTGTTAGGTGCATTGTCAATAGTCACACCATCTCTGATGCCAGCAGTCTAGTAGTATAACTAGCTGTATCTGTGACAGAGGTTATACTGGTCCACCAGGAGGACCTTGCCAAGGTAGGTGTTAGGTGCATTGTCAATAGTCACACCATCTCTGATGCCAGCAGTCTAGTAGTATAACTAGCTGTATCTGTGACAGAGGTTATACTGGTCCACCAGGAGGACCTTGCCAAGGTAGGTGTTAGGTGCATTNCCAAGGTAGGTGTTAGGTGCATTGCCAGCTGAATTGTAGTGGCTTAAGCTTTTTTGTTAGTAGCCTTTGACAACAGTTAAAGCCATTACCATTACTGGGTGGGTTACACTTTGTTAGTTATGAACATTGTCAGAGAAATTAATGTAACTGAAGTGATTTCAAAAATTATTTATTCTTTTAATGTTCTTCTGTGTAACAATGTTTTTTAAGTCATTATTACTGCCTTTCTCTAACTTCCATTTGAATTTTTATTTACTTTATTTATAGTGCTACAGTGTAGTATTGTTATTATATCTTGTTGTTTTACATTTGAAATCTTTAATTGGTTACATAATGCAACTGTTTTAGTTGGGGAAAATGAAATAGAGATGATTATTATTGTTATTATTTGAAAATAATGCTTGACAGCAGACAACAGCTCCTCACAGGGGGGTGATCAACTCGCTGTCAGAGCCTCCCATGGTATACCTAGTTCTGACCCAGAGTCTTCTATTTCTCTCCAGATGAGAATGAGTGTAGCGCGGTGACTCCCGTGTGTGGAAGGCAGAAGTGTCGTAATACTGTAGGCAGCTACAACTGCTTCTGTGACCCTGGCTATAGTATGGACAATGACAGACAAACCTGCCAAGGTAACCCAGTCATCACACCCTAGATAAATAGAACAGCTTGTCCCTGTCTTCAGTTAACAGCTATGTATCACATATAAAAAAATTCTCAAAATATTGATAGACATTCTGGAGGTGGGACCCTTTAGTTGAGGGTATTGCAATGAAAACAAACAACGAATTTTTTGTCTGCTTCTAGAATGACATTGGTTTTCCAGGTTGGATCAGCCTGTCATTTTAGGATTTTTGGTCAGTGTCTGTTTTGTATGTAGGATCAAATGAAATATGAGATTTTATTGTCATACATCCAAGTGATTTGAATTTCTGACACCTGCTAACCAACACTTGTACAGAAGTTTGCTCAGTTGATGCACAGTTTGATTTCAGATTAAATAGTATTGTAAATGATTATTATTAAATATTTATTTCAACTACTCATGTAAAAATTAAAGAACAGATAGATAAAGTGAAATAGAATAAAATAGTTAATTAGTAATAAATAAATAAATAAATAAGTAAATGGTTGACTGCCTGAAGGAAGGAATATGCATGTTGTATA